AAAGTTTAACTCCAAAATGTGGCAACAGGTTACCTGTGTTTAAGTTTCTAGAGATCACCCCTTATTTGATTAACTAAGTTTAAAAATCCACAATATAAAGGCCTTCATCTTTATTTAGATTGTGCCCCTTGTCTTTTATTTGCCATTTTAATACATGCTAGTCCAACTAGTTGATTGTTTTGTTTAAGGGTCCTTGACAGAACAAACAAATCTGTGCACACTCTCTTAAAGCAGTTATAATAAAAACATGGATCAGGATTTTAAGTTAGACTTGTGGAGTCCTGTTTAGATGTCAAACAAGCTAAGCGCTGTAAAGTATTTGTTGAATATTGACAAAGAAAATAAACTCATGTATAGTGGATATAAGGATTTGAATTCAAAGCAGGATCCAGTCCTGATTTTAAAAAGCAGTGAAATAAACCTGATCTGAATTTCAGAATTGGTGTAATTTTTATGGTTTAGACTTTTATGGTACACAGATGATAAATTCCAACTCTGTAAAAGATTGTGTGATAACATTTCTAGCATATATCTGTACTATTTTGGAATGTAAGACTATACAAGTTTGAAATTTAAAAGGACAGATGTTGAGGCTTTGGGTTTTTAACCCTACAGTTTTCCTTTACAATGAAAACATTTTCCATAATTTCCGTCTGAGAATCTGATTTCCACCACTTCCCAGCCTTCCTCTTTTCATGTGTGTCATTTCGTCAGACAGTTGGGGGCGCTGTTTAACTCTATACCCTCCACCACGTTCTCTCTAGGACTCAGTTCTAACAGCTCCCCCGTTGTTCCTGATCACATTTCTGCTTGGACACCAGCTTTTTTTTCTCTCTCTCTCTTCTTCTTTTAGTTTCTGGTAGAAATGTTTAAGCCAGTGCTGGTGGTGCCTCTTGTGTAAATTCCACTGACATTTATCACTCCTCGTCCAAGCGCTTCTTCATGTGAGAAAGTGCCTTTCTGCTGTAGTACAGCTAGGGCGAATGAGCGAGTCAGGAGCTTTTATTATGATCTCTATTTTCAAAGCCTACACCCTCGTTTGCTGACATTTCTGAAGTCTTTTGTGTAAAATGTGAATGCAGAGACAGCCCTCCGCCGCCTCCATCTGCACCCACGGAGTCTGGCCAGCTCTTCAATACACTCTGCTCCCCCCCCCTCCCATTCCCCTCCTCTTTGCTTATTTTTCCAGTATCAGATGTCCGACTTTACACAGATATACTCACACTGTGCAATCTGTGGGCGTCTGAATGTTTCTTTTCAGCTGAATTGATTCAACATGTAACTGAAGACTGCTTAAAATCCAGTTTGCTGCTAATGAGCTAAATAAAATAGGATTTGTGGTGCAACAGTATATGCGCAGTCTGCATGTCCAGCTGGTTCACAAAAACAGTTGTTTGATTAATAAATGAGTAATCTGTTGTCACCAGAAACAACAACAACAAAAAAGAAATAATAATAATAATAATAATAATAATAATAATAATAATGCAGCGTTGTGCACCGCTGAAGAGTCACAAAAAGATCTGGCACGCCAAGCTCTCACCTGCCGTCCAATATTTGCACAGCGGTGACATCACTGAGGAGGCTTTCAGGAGGATATTAGACTGCTGCTTTCACCAGTCTGCACACACACTTTACTTTGATGTATAATGCATGTTTGGTGATAAGCTGCACTACTGTACTTGTAATTGCCAAGCCTCCTAATTTCTTTTCCGCACTTTCCCTTGTCTCTTTGTTTCGTTGCCTTTCATCTGTTCTCGTTCTTCCACGTTTAACAGTTTTCAAACATTTTACCTTAACTTTAAATCTTTACATTTTTTTTGCATTTCTTTCATTCCATCTTTTTTCATCGCATCTTCCTCTTTTTATTCATCGCCACTTGTTTACAACCCCGTCCTCTTGAGCTCTCCAGTTCCACCTTTCATCTCCTTGCCTTTCGTCTTAATGTATTCCTCCTCGGCTTACCTGTCACCACTTGTATCTCCCATATTCGCTTTATGTATGATCCAGTATGACATCTCTTCATCTTCCTTCTCCCTCAAACATTGACCCCCATTATAGCTATGTCCATTACAACATGACTCACCAATGATAGTTTTTTTGGCAGTGGTCCATCTCGGGCACCGTGTGATCTAAACTGACCTGACATCTTTCTTGCCTCCTCTGCAGTAGATAAGACTTCGCTGGAGGAGATTGATTCCTTTGAGCTGACCATCACTTTGCCTGACGTCACTCAACACCAGATTGTGAGACCGGACAAGGGCAGCCTCTTCCGCTTCTATCTGAGCGCGTGCACTCGAGCAGGTTGCGGGCCTGCGCAACTGGCTGAAAATCACAGTCCTCCAGGTGAGTAGATAAAATCCCTGCACATACTGGAGTTAATGTTTGGGTGGAAGGAAACTCAGCCTTTGGGGTTTGGAGTAGAGGTGCACAAAACATATCCATACTGCTTGAACAAAGTGGGAGGAGAAATATGTGTTTTTAAAATCAAAATCTTTAAGAAATAAAAATTTGAAAGGTATAGATTTCTAAACACTGTTTAATCGTAGCTATCATATAAATTTTCCTAAGAGTGAATAATCTGACCAACATGCAAAATGATATGTGTGGCAGAGAAGGAACACTTAACACTGAACACACTCTTCCCAATGTTAAACATGGTGATAGCAGCATTTTGCTACTTTTCTTCAATGGAGACAAATCCAAGCTCAGACCAGTTGGAAATTTGTGGCAAGACATGAAAATATTGTTTGCAAAGACTCAACTCTAGATATTTTGCAAAAGAGAATAACTGTTAGTCTAACTCTCCCTAGACCTGACTCTAACACAAATTTGAAAGGAAAACATAATTTGCATTGTGTCCCAAATCATTTAAGGGATAAAACAACCATGTTGAAGAAGGGGCTTTACTCAGATAAGTCAAAAGTTGGACTTTTTGTGTTCTACATGCAAAAATGTGGTGGAAAACTAACCTTGGCATCACCATCTTTGTGATGTAGTGATGCTTTTCTCCAGTAATGACAGTGAAACTGATCAGTGTTTACGGGGATTGAGATGAGGCACAGGGCAATAGTGGAAGAAAACATGTTAAATGCTGTGAAAAGTGATGTGGTGATTAGAATTACTGCCCCCCAGAAAAAAGGTCTGCAGTTTATCAGTTTTCCTCTTCATATGCACGCTTGGGTTTTCTCCAGGTACTGTTTCTTCCCTTTCCACCCACAGTACCAAAACAGTTCAGTCCTTAGAACTAGAAACTGAGATTTGGCCTTGAGGTCAAGGAAAGTTTCAGGAAATTTAGCAATTGTTGTCTGAAATGATTGCACCATTCTCTTTCTCCCAGCCTACACACTCTACTACCAGCCATCGAGTAAACCAGAAAAAAAGAGTAAAAGCATTTGCTTCATTTATTTTACCCACATCAAATAACTAAGACTTTAATTTCCCTTTGATATTTGACTTTCAGGAAAATGAGGGAGAAAAAGAAATTGTGTTTTATCTCCAGCATTTTTTTCCCACTTGAATCCACACTCTGTTTTTTTAATGTGGCAAACACAAACCTTTGGTTTATTAAATATACCATAACCTCCATGCAGTGATGTAAGTGGTGCTTTGCCCTGCAGCAGCTGAAAGCAAGGATTAACTGTTGCATCGGTTGTTGCTGGCTGAAGGCGAGTGCTTTGGTGGTCGAAACAGAAAGAAAAGGTTCTGACTTTGAAAGTAGATGCAGTCAACAGGCTGATTGAATTTGGAGCTGTAAAGCTAGATGCAAATATAATCGGCACACAAAGTGAAAGGAACTTCATTCATGTATGTAAGGACAAAAGAATTGCCCATGTAGATGGATGAAACAATTTTACTGATAAGAACTACTTACAATTGTCATCAACAAGGTAATTTGTTTCACTCGGTGCCTCTTTCTGCACAGAGTTCATGTCTTGTGAACCTCTTTCAAACTCATGAATATTCTGGGTTTCACAATCTTCTAGAGGTTGCAGTTAGCTATCTTGGTTTGGGCAAAATTGTCCACTATATTTTTCCTTCCACTCAATTTTCCAATAATATTTGTGCCATTGCAGCATATAACCTAACATTTCTATACAGTAACATTTTCATAATTAAACCCTTGTTTTACTGAACTTGTGTTTTTCTTTACTAGCTGACACTAATGATCAAAATCAAAAAGTACATATATCTGTTTACATGTAGAATTGAAAAATGTAATTATTGAAATAAATTCACTTTTTGAGGACATTCTAGTTTATTCAAATGCATGAAAGCAGGTTAAATAAATGCCACTAAGACACGCTTGCATGTTATTGGTAATCTTGAAATGTTGCTTCACTGTGCACAGATACATCCACAGGAAGCTATATCTTGAATATTGTGAGTCACATGACCTGCAGGTGAATGGATTCTCTCAAGCCAGTGACTGTGGTGGGCGAGAGGAGGTGTAATTTGTATAGATTTTCTCTGAATTGTGAAATGAGTAATGGTCGCTGATAAATCAAGCCGTGCAGAGTCTTCCAGCCATTACCTTGCAGAGCGAGCGGAAGGATAAGGACAAAAAGAGAGCACGAGAAAATGTTAGTAAGCCGTAAACAAAAACAAGAGAGAGAGAGAAAAAAGTATTTTATAGTTTTGTAAATATCTGTACATGTGACGCCTTCCTTGCATTAGTGGATGTCCAGCCTGAAAGCCACTGCATGTATTGTTTGTAAATGTGGTTGAGCAGAGGCTTGATGGGAAGATGAAATACTTCTGTTTGAAAGAGTTGTCCTGAGGGTATGTTAGTCACAATGCAGAGGAGAGATTTATGGATGCCAGTAGGATGGGGCTGGGGCTCCCTGAATCCAGGCACATAAATGGGAGGAACATGTGACACAGTTACAAAATGAATGCATATGAATGAGGGAGCTTCTTTCTAAAATTGTGTCTGTGTTCTTTAAGTGAGAGGAGCTCCTGGATGGACATTTCTGGCCTTATCTGAAAAATAATCTGGATATAAAAATCTTTCTTTACAAGCAGAGGTCTTCCTTTGCAAATCTTTATGATGCAAAAGGAATGTCACAAATATGAGATGAAAGTATAGAAACATTTGCAAACACCCAGGCAACAAAAAAACAGGGAAAAAAAAAAAAAAAAAAAAAAAAAACAACGAGAGAATTTCTAACAGCCGGCATGGAACAAAGAGAAAAATCTCATGAGATAAGAAAGCTAGAGAAATTCAGCAGGCTGCAAAAAACAAAAAAAGACGGAAAGCACAGAGAAGCACATGCCTGGAAAGTCACAGAAAAATAACTCGCTTCTCAAGAGATAAAATAACTCGCTTCCTAGCGGAGCATTCAAACACAGCAGTTTTCACAAATAAAAATATAGGACGTTAAATCTAAAAGTTGAGATGTAACTGCATTAGCCAAGGCCTGATTTCCCCTTCACATTAATCAGCACATGATTCATGCGTCGGTGTGAAAAACAGCAGTGGGTTTTATTAAAATGGGAGATCAGATTGAGGATATATTTACGCTTGACAAGTGACGACATAAAAAATGTCAATTAAAAAAAATTAACAGGAAAGATGCATATGCACCAGTTCTTTTTCCTGACCAATATCTGTGATGTAAACTGTCTGTGCCTTGAATGGCATCCTGGATGAGCCCTTACTTCTGTAAGGGGATATTTTTTTCCTCCGTTCGCACTTCTCATCCGCAAGGAAACAGAGTTTATGGTAAGAAAAGCATTTTTAAAAGCTTTGTTTATGGTGTAGACTGGATACCCAGAGATTGCTATGTAAGACGATGCTCAGGTCACACTTTTGCCTCCTGAGCTAAAAAAAACTACATTGTGTTGCCATTTTTATAAATCTTTTTCACATTTGTCTCGATTGTTCCTGTTAAATTTGAATATTTAAATATATATATTTATATATATCCTTTGAATTTTGATGCAGTTTTTAACAATGTTATCACCACCTAGTTGTTTTAACACACAGTTTAAAGTATTTTCTTTATCCCTATTCCCACATTAAAGAAACAAATATTATTTTCAAAACATCCTGGAGAGTTCAACAGGAATAAAACGTTGACTCTGCTGCTAAGAAACCAAAAAAAAAAAAACCTCTTATTTCAAATTGAATAAACTGCAAACTATATCTTAAAGATTCAGTATTTGTAGAAATATATAAAATTTGTAACCAGAGGGTTAAATGTGACTGACAGTACCATTTCATTTATTTCATCGAATCATAAGCTGTGAATGAGATAAACGTTAGTGTCATCACCCACCTGCTGTGTACATTACCATTTTCGTACAATGTGCACACCACAGGAGGGCTCTCATTTAAGTGGTTCAACGTGCAAGTTGGCGCCAAAATTATTCATTTGCCTGGAAAATCAAGGTTTAACATAAACTTTTATTATATGTTATTAAAGTGTTTTCTTTGACTGGGAACGATGATAAAATTTAGACTGGTCCAGTGGCTTTGAAGCCTTCCAACCGCCTGTCTCATCACCAAACACAAGGCAGATCTTCTGCTTAAGCAAAAATACCAGGGGAAACATGCAAAAAAAGCTGACCAGCAATTGTAAGAACGGTTCAACTGCTTTAAGATCTTTAAATATTTTTAATGTCTGTAGAGAGATTCCAAGCTCGTTTTCGTTCAGAAACAAACTTCTTGGTCAAAGAAAAACTATTTTTAATAACTTTTGGGCTAAACTGTAAATAGTAATGCTTTTGCTTCTTTGCAACCTGGTTTGCGCAACCATGAGCAGAAAGCAATGCTACACACAAAAAAACCCTAAATAAAACACAGATCACTAGTGCAAAGTAATTTAAGTTGCACCGTGATGTCACAGGACTTTTTAAAAGATGGCAGCGGTAAAGCCAAACTTTGCATGTCAAGGCTGATGTTTGAATATTAAAACTGTCTATAATTATCTGATGACTTTGATCTTGTAATAAGCATTACGTTCTATGAAAGATAAAGTATTTTGTCAGCCAAACAAGAAAGGTCCTCCGCAGTTGATCGACTTTTGGATGAAAGCTAGAATCTTGAAAAGAATCAAAGATATCACTAATCTCATTAAAAACCCAAATTTAATGCAGTTTCATTGAGAGGTTAAAATGAAAGCTTGCTTAAAAAAAAGAAACTATTTTTAATAATTAGCATAACCATTTTATTTTGATTTGAGTTGCTATTGTCTATTAATTTCCACTTTAAGTCCGTCTTCCCACAAGTCACTAAAACAGAGATTGCTCCTGCTGCTGTTTGTAAGACTGCTTTGTTCCTACAGCTGTGTCAGACTGTGTGGCTGAGCCAGCCTGCTCTGAAAACCTTGAAGCCAGCTTTCTGCTGTATTTCATTTTTTCTCCTTTTTTTTTTACCCTCCCCTTAAGAATTTTCCTTTTCTCCAGCTGCGGTTCCTGGTCTGAACAGTATGTACCGCCGCCTGCAGCTGATGTATCTAGTCCTCATAGACATATGCTGGTATAGAGACAGACCAGGTTGTAGGCGTGCTGTTCTTGTAGAGTAGAGCCGGTCAGAGCCTGAGCAATATTTGTCCTTTAAGGCTGTACTAATAAAATCTCAGAGATGAACTCCTGTTTCTAACTGTTCAGAAAAAAAAAAGCAACAGAAAGGTTGGGGACCAACAGCAATACCTGTGACTTAATATAAGAGATCCTGATTTACTGATCAGACTTCGCTGTAGCTGCTGCCTAAAAGCTCGACTTAACACAGGTCTCCCACTTGTTCTAACCACTCTGACTTAATATAGTTTCTAGTGCTCCCTCGTTGAGTGTGCTGCCTGGCAGTATTGCAGCAGAAATTTGAGGCTTCACTTTCATTGCAGCGATCTACTGTGAACAATTTTATTTGCCTTCTGATAGAAAACTTGCGCTCTCCCACCGATGTTCATATGATCGCACTTTTGATAGACACAGAGTAATTTCCACCCGTTCTCATATCATGTCCTTGGTGAGCGGTGTCAGGAAATGTCGGTTTTGCTTAATGCAGGCTGAAGACCAGATGCACTAAATCTGATCTGTAAATCTGCTCTTCATGAGTGTAAATCCATCTTTTCTCAATTACGTTTGAGGGCCAGACTTAGCTTTTGAACTGTCTTCTTGAAGGGTTTCTGCGAGATGCACTGGTTTCAAGCTATGGGGGATCCTGTTTTCCTTAGCTAATCCTCTTTTCCTGCCATCTCTCTCTTTTTCTCTGTGCCTGCCTCGTTTCCATTCCTCCTCCTGTTTCTTCTCTGCTTTATCAGTTTCGGCGCTGTTCAACATAAGCTCTTATGTGAGTGACACCTTTGCCAAAATCAGCTGGTCTGCTCGAGAAAAGCAGGGCGACTCGGAGCTTTATTTGGCTTACGTGAATAACTGTAAGCTACTTTTCCTGTCCCAGCCTTTGGTAAACATTGATAGGAGGCTTATGGCATATCATATGTAGGTATGCTTAGCAACTAAATATATGTACATGTTTTGACTTTACTACTTTCCATAGCTATTTGCAAATGTGTTTAGATATATTGAAATTAAGGCGAAGTGATTGTTGACAAAGACTTCCACCCAAGAAGGCATTAACCAAACAAGTGACAAAGGTGAGGGCAGGAATACAAAGAAGCATAATTAACCTCTTTCATAAAACATTTCAAATTGACACTCAGCTGCAAATCAAAGGAGCGCGTGTTTCTTTCTCAACATGTATAGATTACTTAAAATACTTTCTACAAGTTAAAACAGAAAGAGATTCGACCACCTCCTTCCTGAATTAACTATCTAGTTAAAACATGACAGTAGTTCATAATTTTATCTTCCTGAAATACTGATTGCTTCACGCTATCAGAAGTCTGCTTTGGTCTTTGAGCTGCCATAGCATTTAGCCTAAGCCTCTGATGAATTAATCTGTATTTCTGCTAAGAGAGTTTAGAGACTATTCACTTGTCATGTTTCAACAAAATATCTTAAAAAAAAAAAAAGTTAAACTCTCCATTTAAGGTGAAAACACACTGGGATATTGTCGTACACACTTATCAATTGTTATTTGCATATAAGAAATCATTAGGCTGTTATAGTTAGCGGTGCTCAGCTTCCAGGTGGCTGCTTGTTCTTCTAAATAAAAAAAAAACAATAGTAGAGTTATAATTTTTCATGTCACATGCCTCAGTTTTTTAGGAATATCTAAATATCAGATATCTTAGAAAGGAAGATATCTGACATTTAGTATATTTTATGCCTAGTGGTCACCATTTCCCTAGTTGCATTTCACTCCACATTTCCTGTAGTTCTGTGATCACTGCTTCATTTATGAAAGCTCACATGTCCATAGGGTGGATTGGTGGAAGATTCATAAATAACCACAGGCAGTGTGACCTGTTTAGTTAAAAAAAAAGTTGTCAGTAGATCAGATGCTTTCTGCACTTAAATGACAGACTCGCTCTGCCGCTCATTGACTCCAGTGAATGTAATGCAGTGGCTGGTTTCGTTCAGGCATACGTGTTTGTTTTGCCTTTTTCCTGTTTAATATCCTATCAGAAGTGACAGCATAATATAGAGGAAGGAAATGTGAGCTTAATGCAGTGTAAAAGTATCCTCGCAGTGAGCCCTGCTTACGCTTAAAGACAAAGTTGTCTGAGAATTATTCAGACAAATCGGTGTGATTGAAAGATTGTTGATCTCTGTATCTCTTTGTTCCTCTTACTACCAGAAAAAGTCGGAACGGAGGCCAGCAATTCAACGCAGCGCTGGTTCATCGGGACTCTGTGTGCGGTGGCATTACTCACGCTTGTGGCAGTGATCGTGTGCTTTGTGATGAAAACCAAGGGTGGCAAATATGCAGGTATGCAGCCATGATGGATACAAGACACTCTCTCTCCTTGGGAAAAGGTCAGTCAGCCTTGATCAGAAAAGGTTCCCCTCGTCATGTTGCTCAGGAAAGTAAATGAAAAATCCTGCAGGAAGACATTCCAGTCTGCTATAGGGAGTTGTTCAGTCCTTCCCCAACCCTGTTTGCTATTCAGTGCCTTGGAAAAGTATTAACATTGAAGGTGTATTTTTTTTGTTTGCTTATTTTTTTTTTAGTTTTTGTCACTTTATTACCACAAACTTCCAAAATTATGCAATAGAAAAAAAAAATATTAAATTGTTTTCAAAATACTTAAAAAAAGACATTCAAAAGTGTGGCATTGGTTGGTATTCAGTTCCTTTTATTTGTTCATAGTGCAGCCAGTTGCCTTAAGAAGTGATCTTATCAGTCTGCTTGTAATTCAATCACAATATGTTCTGTAAAGTGACGGAGAAGTTTAAAGCGGGGTTAGGAAATAAATCATAGCCATACTCTGGTTCAGATCTGTAGCAAGACTTAAAAAAATTACACTTTTCTGATTTTATTATTAAGACATTTAAAACACGTAATTTTGCTCCACTCAACACTTATTGAGTTGTAGTAAATAACACAAAAATATTCAGACATTTGTAGTGGTTAGGTGAAAAAAACAAACAAACAAAAAAACAAAACAAAAAAAAAACAAGCCTTTTACAAGGCACTGTGGTGCGTCACCCTTTTTCCTAGCAGTTCCAAGCCCAGGATCATCCACATGCATCTGCTGTAGTTTACTTGTAAATTGAACTCTGGAAGTTTGCACGATCCTTGTTAGTTCTGCTTGACAAAAATGATTGCATTTTTTTGTCCAGCGTGGGAAGTGAGAATGAGCAGTCTTTGTTCCCCTGCTCCCTTCCCCTCACCTATGCAATCTTCTGTGGCTCTTTCCTTGTACCCTTCTTCCTGCTCTGTATCAAAGCTGGTTTCCATCTCACAGCGTTTTGTCCCTGTAAACTGTCTTTCCCATTCCGACCTTCGTTCCCTACTTCTTCCCCACTATCGCTACTGTGCTTCTTTGCCTGAAGTAGTGTTTGACAAGAAGCACTGAATATTTCATCAGCTTCGTTGGATTGCCCCTTTGTCCATCTAGCTCTTTCCACAAAAATCCCTTCTTTTGTCTGCCTCAAAAGCAGCTGTTATTTTCAGAGGGTGTTTACACAAGGGGCATGCAGCACTTGGTGCACACATGCTAAAGAGATGCTCTACATGTTCACTTTATGTAATGTGGACACATGTCAATAGATCTTTGAACAGTTAAAAACATGTCTGGTCTAACTCCAAGTGTAACGCCACGTACCGCATTTATTTTGTTTCTCTTAGCACAATGTTCTGCATACATTTTAGAGTATCTTGTATGTGTGTAGCACTAATTATGAACATCATTCACTCCAATTATAAAAGTGAAACAGCAACTCTGTCTTCCTTCCCTCTTTCAGTAAAAGAGAAAGAAGATCTCTTTCCCGATGCAGAGTCACAAGCAATGAATGACGACGCCTATGAATACAGGTGAGCTGCGTGAAGTTAATTAATCTCATCGACATCGCTTTATGTTCTGGCAACAGTTGGCAGCTTTACATAACCTCAAATGTGAATAGGATGAAGAAGTACTCACAAATTACAGATGTGCTCTTTTCCCCTTCCCGTCCTAAAAGCAAACCTGGCACTCATGACGTTTACCAGGAACAACCTGACAGCCAGTGCACTCATCATTTAATGGGCTAGGTAATCACAAAGTGTGCTTAAGAGTAGTGGTTAACCCTCAGCTTAAGCTTTGTTCCCTTTTAGCTGGAATTATGTGTTTTCACTCAGTAGTTAGATTTGGGTTGTGTGCGTGTTCATGCTTTCCAGACCTTGTGACCCGTGTTACGCTTGTAGGCTATTTTAATGTTAGTATGTGAGCCTATGTGTGTGTGTGTGTTTGTGTGTGTGTATGTGTATTTGGCATTTTTTTCAAGGTACAATTTATTGAGGTTCTTAGTTACAGCATAATTCAAACATTGCAAACCAGATCTGTTTGATCAGAAGATATAAAAAAAGGTAATAACTCCACATTTATATTAGAGAATATGAAAACTGTCTCACTTCCAGAGAAAAACACAGTTGGCCAAAATTCTTTGTGTATCACATTTAATCCGCCGTCGTGTGACAAGAATTATTGTTCTAATGGGTAAAATCTGTCTATTTCTTATTTTGCTGATGAGTTTTGGCTCTCGGTTAGAAACGATAGATTTGCACACCAAATTCTGTGGTCTGCAAATGTGTTTCTAATAAAAGCGAGTTTGCTTCAACTCTCAGAACCCCCTGAGTGCAAATTAGCATGTGCACCTGCAAATCCTGATTGGAACCAGAGCAAATTAATTCCAGGAACTTCTGGAGAATCATCTGAAATGAGTCAGACTTAATCACTTTTCCATTGTGCTCTAAACCCAGATGTCAGGAGACGCTAATATGATTTTGACTGATGGTTTTGGGTTTTGTTATTTTTATGTTTTTTTTAGCTCACGCTCTTGTTGTTCGCAATAACATTCATGGGAAGTTGTTCAGAATTGGATGAGAACAAATATGGCTGAATTTTCCTGATTCAGAATCAATAAAATACATAAAATACCTAGTGCCTTAAATAAGATAACACTTTCATAATGTAAATAAACTTGCATTAATAAGCTATCTTAAATACAAAAACAATAATAACATTAGTAGGGGCTTGTACTATTGATGTAGTCAAGAGGCAATTTTTTTTGTATTTACACAAAGATGAACCATTTTTACCAAGCAGATAACTTTTGATTCAACTTTGCACCAGTGAATATCACTCAACGCAGCTGTCCATCACACTGTGCAGATTGCTTATCTGAAAAAGATTTTTAAAACTGTTCATCCCATGTTATGTTGCCCTATGACACAAAATCCAAATAAATCGAAATTTGCGGTGGCAACGTGACAAAATGTGAAAAGCTTTCATATCAATACTTTGTGTTCGAAGAAGCGTCTCTCGAAGTGTGACAATGCACGAAAACGAGCCTCTGCACAGAAGAAGCCACAGCATTTGCTAGTGACCGTGTGCAGATTTTTTTGTCTCCTACAAACTGCTTAGAATGCTCCTCATGGTTGGTTTCATGAGGCTGTTTGCAGTGCCGTCCCCCCAGAGTGCCCTTAGCTTTGCTGTGATGTTGTTTGGCTGCCTTCAGAGCTGGTTTCAGGGCTCTCTTATGCCCTTTGAATCTCTGAAGGCAATAGACCACCCACTGGTATCCCATGTGTCTGGGGAGCTGACAAGTGGTAATTATGCTTCTGATGCTTTCTCTTTTGAGAACGCCATCTATGCCTTTCCCCCCCTCCGTCCTCTGTGAGAACAGCAGGTGTCTTGGTTGCGCCAGGTTATTTGACTCATATAATTGTTTTATTTTGGGGGGGTTTTACCCTCACCTTTGAATAAATATGTTTCTACTTAATGTACAATTAGGAGGAGGGGAAAAAAATAATAGTAAATGTGTGGAAATGGTTTTCTTGATGCTTTCTATGTACAACTTTAATCAAAAAAATTTAAACACGAGACAAAAAAAATGCATCTGAACGTCTCCATGAATCCAAATTGGATCGATATTTATCGCAGGCAAGACATAAAGGATTACTTTATGTCTGGTGATGTTAATCTGGTGCCTCCCTTTTTTGCTGTTTGTGAAACAACTTTTGTACTGAAACAGGAGCAGGATACACCAAATAGAGGCTCTGAGTAAGCTGGGGCTCAACTGCTCTCAGCCCCATTTTATCTCAGTATTCAAAGTCACTGTGGGCGGGCGGGCGGCGGCAGTGGCATTTCTCCGCTCTTAGATAACAGCCACTTATCTTCGGCGCTCTGGAGACGTCAGAGAAAGAAGGTTTGATAAGGAGAAAGCCTGGGAAAAAGAAGGTTGTAATGTGGACCTTATGTGGCTTGCATCATAAACGGCTTGGCAAAGTGGCCGAGATAAGATTGGTTATTAAAAGTCCCAGTTGAAGGAGACTCAAAGTATAATCTTTGTCTTGGACTCGGCTCTTGTGCTTGAATCCCCGCTCGCAATTTTGCTTCTCTTCGACTCAGGTGTCAACCGCAATGTGCTTCAGTAAGCACTATCATGTACGAAACACCTGAGTTTTTTGTGAGCGACAAGGCTTTGTGCTGTGAATAGAAAATCAAAGTGGAAGAGAGGTGTTACTAAAATTGATAGTTTAGGCAAAGACGGAAGAATGTCGGTGTTTTGAGGTGACCCTGTGTTTTAAAGACAGACACCTGCGAGTCGGCCATTCGCCCTGCGTTAAATTGGCATCTAATCTCCTCGGCTCGTGCGCGAGCCCCCAGGAATACCAGGAATGACAGGCTGTTTGTCTGGGATTGCATACGCACCACTTCTTCCCCTTCTCCCCCTCCCCTTCTGCCCTCCACCAACTCGGTCGTCTTCTCCTCCGCCACCAGACACAAACCTTCCACTTGGCATCTTTCTCACTGCAGTCTGGCAATTTACATCGCTGACTCTAAAGAGATTTGAAATTGCCTTTGGTCTTGGAGCTTTGGCAATTAGCAATTAGTGGAGTGATTGTAGAAAGTCCTCCCTGCCCCCCCGCGTGCTTTCCTTCCTGCTGTGCATCTTCGTCTGCCTTCTGCATGTAGTCATATTCTGTATTTTGTTGTTCGTTAGTGGGCTGGTGTGGCTTCGCATTCGGTGCCGCTAATGCAAAATGTTTTCTCGGGTTTCTCCGTCTAGTTTCCATATTTAATGGAACCCCTGGTAGAGATGTGTGAAAAGGCTTAGCATGAGTTTGCTGTGGCACAATCTCACGTTGAATCATTTTCCTATTCAACCTTTAATTTGAGTACATTTATTCAGCGCGTTAAAAGTTTTTAACCGAAATCGTCTTTGATACACAGGTTCACACCACTGCTGACAATACTTTTAGTTTTTTCTTTTATTTTTTTTTTCCTTTTGTTGGAGTTGTTAGTTATGCCACTTATTATACAGGATTCCATTTTTTTCCCACTGTGCAATTTTAACTTAAATGCATTTACATTTAAATACATTCTACAATGTGAGATTACACTACTGCCATAAAATATTAATTTATTCTTAGAACTTTTGTTTTTCAAATTTTTACCAAAGGCGGCAATATATGAGAAGAGTGCCTAAGATTATGTCAAGAACAGGAGATTTTTTTTTTTTTTTTTTTTTCATTGCTTGCTTTGAGATGTTCTGACATTTTCAATGCGACACTGACCCCGACCCGCCTTCTTTTGTTACCCATGACCGCAGCAGCGACAACAAACAAATGAAGAAACCTATCCTGGATTCCACAAACGACACGGTTCAGGACAGCATCAGCAGAGACAGCTTGGTCGATTACTCCGATGGAGACGGAGAATTCAGCGAGGATGGCTCATTTATCGGAGAATATTCCGGACCCAGGCACCGGGATTTCATCAGTGAGCCCAGCGGACCCAGCACCGCCACTGCGTAAAGCCAGGATCCACCATCAAACAGCCTCCGTCGATTCCTGTGACGAAAACATTTTCATTTCTGCTTGTACTACTTTACTGTTGGGAGAGTTTTTGTCCACGTTTTGTTTTAAAGAAAGTGAATATTTCTGGTGTAAACATAGGTGTGATGTCTCATGCGACTCTGTACATAATCTAAAAGAAAAAAATTAGCTATATTATATTAGTTGATTAATTTTGACATTTACAATATTGCTTTTATACCAACCAGCCTATATAAAGCACATTTCTTTTTACAACTTTATACTGTCTTGGAAAAACAAGGGTCATAAAAGGTTTTAAGTAAAGTTAAAAAAAAAAATAAATAAAAATAAACAAAAAAATAACATTTTTGTATTTTTATACAGATTGTGTTCTTGTATTGCCACAAATGCTTTTCTTTCCCTTCCTTTTCATTCCTTTTATTTGTCCTTTCTGAACATTTTAAATTTGATTTTTAATATGCATGATGTGCAATTTTCTACTGTCCAAATAGACGGGAAACAGAAATATGAAGAAAATGTGAACTCAAAAATAAAGTTATTTCTAAAAGTCTCCAGACCATTACTTTTTTCAATTTCATTATATCAGCTTGTGACAAGAAAGAAGAAACATAAATATACGAACCACTTTATTGAGTACACATTTCTTGCTGCAGGTTGTACCTAATCTGAACTTAATTGGTATTTGCTTATATTCAAAAAAGTTTCCGAAATGTTCTTTGGGGGATAATACTGACTGATGAAATTGTTTTATAAATCTCCTGTTGGTTTGGTAAAATTGAGCTTATTTTAGTCTGTGTAGCTTTGACCACCTGCTTTGAAATTCCACTTGACCATTCACACAATCTATATTATAGCTTAGCTGGTTGCAATAAGTTGCTATTTGAGCAACTTCTTTTTGCTCAAATAGCAACTTTGTTTGGTTCGACTAGGCAGGCATAGACGAGCTACTTCTGTCAAAACAACTGCCACTCACTGAAGAGTCATGGCTGCGCATAAAAATGTTAATACTCAGACCGGTCTGTCTGGAGCCAAACTGCTTTCAAAGACAATTAAATGCCATTTCCTCCAGATTTTGATCCACACTCTATGCTTCAGCAAGTTGTACGTCCCAAAACCGACTGAATTCAAATGTGGTTAAATGAAATGTTCAGCGAACTTGTCAAAGTTAAATGATGAACAAGGCTTTGACTTTTTTTTTTTTTTTTTTTTTTACCTTAGCAACTGTGATTTTGCAGCAGTTCTTCACAATCCTATTTAGAGTCCTTCTGCATGGAAAGGATTCTGTTTCTCTGTGGCAGGATGAATCAGATACTGTGTTTTATCTCTTCGCTATTTAATGGATTTCTTTTCAAATTGCCTCTTGTTCACATATTCAGAGCGCTCAGGTTCACGTCCAAAGCTCCTTTCACCTATTGTGAACAAAAATATCCTTCTCTACCAACCTGTGTCAAACAAATGAAGCAAATTATGGACAAAAAGAAAATTTTGCTCCTACACAATATAATGATACGGTTACAAATTTTGTCTTGCATCTCTGCTTTAAAGTTTGATGTTAAGGTGTAGTGTATTATTCAAACCACATTGAGGCCATTCATGAGACACACGAAAAAAGGAAACCAATAAAAGAACACCAGTGGTTCCAGCTGCAACTCTTCACTGGTGAGAGGCTCATTTATGTGTCGTCTGGATTCACCAGATAACTCTTTAAATTTCAAGGACTGTTTAGAAGTTCAAGACAGCTTTCAAGTAAATCACATCAAATTATTTTGATATTTCCGAAAGAGGCTACTTGGGTTTTACAAGCACATGCCAGACATACTTAAAAAACCAAATTGCATTTACAGTGCCCTGCAGGTTTATCGGCGTCCCTGGAAATTATGTTTGAAAAGCCTCAAAATAATTTAATCCATTCTTCATTTTGAGTACGTTTATTCAGTGAGGCAAAAAAGAAAAAAACACACATTAGGAAATAAGGGTAAATGAGATCAAAATTGAACTTTTTGGCCAAAGTGCAAAATGAAATGTGTGAGGATAAAAAACTAAGAGTGTACTATCACACTGAACAGACTCGCACTGTGAAACTCAGTGGTGGCACCATCATGCTTAGGGAAGGCTTTTCTTCCGCGGAGACGGGGAATATGTCTGTGTTGCACAAATACAACAATTTTTCGGACACCAGAAGCTAAAATA